CATGGACTGCCAGAAAAACAAACACGTCAGTGTTGGGAAAAGTAAAGCCAGAATGCTCCTTAGAAGCAAGGATGACGAGACTTCGTTTCACATACTTTGAACATGTTCTCAGAAGGGGCCAGTCCCTGGAGAAGGACATCATGCTTGGTAAAGTAGAGGGTCAGCGAAAAAGAGTAAGACCCTCAACAAGATGGATTGATACAGTGGTTGCAACAATGAGCTCAAACATAGCAACGATGGTGAGGATGATGCAAGACTGGGCAGTATTTCCTTTTGCTATATGTAAGGTCGCTATGAGTCTGAACCAACTCGATGGCACCTAACAACAACAATATTCCTTTGTTGAAACTTAACTACTTTTCCATTTATTTCAAGATTATTCGTGATTGTTTGTTTCATTCCTCTGGCTATAAAGCTGGAGCCTTAGTTACCCCACTCTGTAGCATACTTCCAGTGCAGATGTTAAGCAGCAGGAAAATAGAGAGAAAAGGAGCACGGATTCACCCCTGTCTTTTGGGATCACAGATCAGTGATGGAGAAGAAAGTTGCCCTCTCTCAGAGTTTTGACTCCTGCTGGATCCTGTTACATTGCAACTTCTGATGCTGCCACCACAGGATTGCTTGGGGCTTTAGGGTGAGAGAATGAAGAGGAGAAAAAACTAGGATTTCCACACTCTCTGTAAGCATTAGGAGTTCTCTTTTATACTCCTTGAGCCAGGAATGAAGGGCTGTCCTGGAGCTCACTGTTCTCTAGTGCCTACTTTCAGGTTTCAGGATCCATTGTATTCTGGTCTGGGAATAACCAGAGGGGGAGGAGAGAGTGATAAATTCACTGCCCACTTGGAAGTACTTCAAATTCTGGTGTTCTTCACCAACTCACCTGTTATTTCAGATTCTTTTACTTTTCAGAGTCCTCAAATAGATACCCCATGAATTTTGTCCAATTTTTATCATTATGTTCAATGGAAGAGACAAGGTGAAGTGTGTTTACTCCATCTTACCCAGAACCAGACTCTCCACACCTAACATTTATTAAGTGCAGACTGTGAGCCAAGACTGTACTAAGTGCTTTACTTATCTAATCTAATCTCTTACAAAACCCCTGAAGTTATATATTAGTATAGTTACACATTATAATCTTCATTCTATACTCCAGGGAACAGATACTTAGAGAAGATTAAGTTCCTTGCCAGAGGTCACCTGACTAGTGACAAAACTCATAGTACGCCTTCAGAATTATACTATAATGTCCTCAGACCACCTGCTCCAAAACCAACTAAAGTGCTTATTAAAATTGAAGTTTCCTGTGCCCCATCCAGGACATACTAAATCAAAATCTCTGGGAATGGGGTTCAAGAAGATTCCTATATATACTACAGTTGAGAACCAATGCATATTACCTCCAATAAAAGAAACTTTCAGTCTAAATGACTTTAAAAAGGATATCAATATTCTTCAAGTAGGAATGCCCATTAGTGCTGGCATCAATCAGTTTAAAATAGGTTACATATGCTCACGTTCCTTAGTCTTCTGTATCATGTTAAGGGACATAAAAATAGGATTTGTTATAAGCCAAATCCACTTTATATGCAGGAAGATTTTCTGAACCCCAAATCGTGAACCCAATACTCTCTCTCCCACTCCAACCCTTGCCAATGAGAATTCCCTAATAGGGGCCCTCCACAAAAAGTATTAGTTAACCAGTACATCAAATTCTACTTTGGAAAGAGACCACACATAAGTAAATTCTGCTCATTTATCATAGACAATACTGGCTTATTTCACTAAAAATTGCACCCCCTCTTCCATGATGGAGGCTACTTGGCTAAAAAACAATTTTGATGGGCTCATTGTGGAAAACTAGCAACTTCACCTTCTGTAAGGTCAGTTTGAATGAGGATTCTCCTCAGTAATAGATAAATCTGAATAAGAAATACATTTTAAAAAAAACAAAAAAACTTTCTCACTCACTATATATGCCTGGGAGCTCTGGTAGCACAGAGGTTGACAGCTCAGCTGCTAACCAAAAAGTCAGCAGTTGGAATCCACCAGCCGCTCCTTGGAAACCCTATGAGGCAGTTCTACTCTGTCCTATAGGGTAGCTATGAGTCAGAATCGAAGCAAAGGCAACTTTTTTTTTTTAAATGCCTAGTAGGGGGTGAGGAAACACTTGCATCAAAATAAGGAAATGCATATTTTTTTAGGTGAAAAGATTTTTAAGGAAAATTTGCATGTAAGTATATAATTACGGAGGTTGGAAGAGTCAATAAGATTGTAACATTTGCCCAGGATGCCTGGTAAGTGACATAAATAACACTACAGTCCTATACACATGAAACTTCTCTTCTGAGGCTCGCAATGAATTTACAGATATTGCTTTAATGGCTAATAACAGGGATTACCATTCCTAACTCACATATGGAAAAAACAAGGCCAAGCATGCCATTCTCCAAAGCCCTCTGATAATCTCCTTTAAAAAAAAAGTGTAATAACACATTCTAACAATAAGTCATATTTTAGTACTAAAACCTATGACAAATACTCTGCTTTGAAATAAAAAATCTTGTTTAAAAAATGTTCTTATGGGTATTTATGAGGAAGTTCAAAAGTTTCAAATTGATCAGCAGTAATGAATCAAAAATAAAAAGAATTCCGTACGGTAATTTTCAACAACAGTGAAGAATATGTCAAGCAGTAATTTTTTTTCTTTTTTTTTTTTTTTCCTTTCTGCAGGGAGCAAACTCCAAAACATATGGCCCAGAAAGAAAATCTGTACTGGTTTATAGCAATGAATTGGCTTTTACATCTCTGCAGCTAGAGTAAGCAAATGACTTCACAGGCAACAGCTTCCGTATGTTTCATATTTTTAACATTGACCGTTCATAATAAAGAGTCTTTGATCCCAGATCAAATGCTTGAATCAATTTTCTCTACACTTACTCAGAGTCATCATTATGAAAGCTCCCCTCTTCTCCACCTTAGATGTTCCAGCGCTTCCTGCAGTCGGAACTATCTCCATTTGTCACCTTCTCCGCACTCTTTCCCACCCCTTTGCTGTGGTTTTTAGCTCTGGTCGTTAACCTCTCATACAAAGGAGGCACAGTAATAAATAATTCTGGTACGTAATAAGTTGACTACAATAAATAAGGTTCACCTAAGGAATTCACAAGCGTCTTTAACAAAGTGGAAAGTTCATGATAATGTGGTTAGTACAAAAAAATGAATACCCAGAATAAAATCCTCTGTAGGTGAGGACTTTTTTGCCCACATGCAAGAAAAATAAAAACAAAAATTTAAATAAATTTTTTTAAACTAGGAGAAATAGGTTATATCCTTGGGATTCAAACTAGAAAAAGTGAACTGCAACCTAAGGCATTGAATAAAAACATCAGACCAAAAGTCTGGATAAATAGTGAAAATACCAAATCAAAAAAATAGATAAAAAGTCTAGTCAGTGCTAAAATTTTAGAATATCTGCAACATAAAATTATTTTAACTGATTCCAAAGCCTTTTTTTTTTTTTTAAGGCTTTGCTAAGGAGCAGTGTTTTAAACATAACCGTAATTACTAAAACCTTAAAACATGAATTTTGTAGAAAAGTACTCATTAAACAAAGGCTAATATAAAAAGATTTTTTAAATTTTTTTGTGGTAAATAAAATAAATGTGGCAGTAGATTAATTATATTTGGGCCTAATTAGACCTCATCTGATTAAAAAAAATAATCCCAATGTTAAAAATTCTTTTAAAATTGATATTGCTTTCCCTTTTTGTTTGGACTAGTAGACAGGTCAAATTTTAGGAGAATCTAAGCGATTATGATTCTTCGTTTCAAAACATAGCCAGAATACACCAAAAGCACAATAAAATATTATTTTACAAATATATATATATCCAGAACGCTGATTCAGACCCAGCCCTTACAATTTATCAGTATGAAGATGGTATACTTTTAGGTGCCAACCTAGGGGATCCTGAGTTGATTTTGGAGCAACATTTGTTTTATGCAACATTGAACTTTTCTGGATTTGTACAAAATAAGTTGGTGCATGTATCATCTAACTTATCCCAATGATTATAGATTACCTTGCACACAGTAGCAAACTGTTGGTTATTTCCTGTTCCAACTACAAGATAGCCATCCTTGGTTTTGAAAGCCTAAAATAAATAAATAAACATACATAAATATTCAAGTATATATACTGAGATATAACAAGTTTAATTTCTAAAAGTTCTACATAGAAAGCTATGTTCTAAAGCAATCTTCTTAATTAAATTCAATATCAAATTATTAGTATCTTCCCCTGGACACCCTTTTAGCTCAGTAATGAAGTCACTCCCAACGTTCACCCTAAGCCAAAGATTAGACAGCACCATAAAACAAAACGGGACTAATGGGGCACAACAGTCCAGAGACGAGGACTAGAGGGCAGGAGGGGACAGGAAAGCTGGTAACAGGGAACCCAAGGTTGAGAAGGGACAGTGTTGACATGTCGTGGGGTTGTTAACCATTGTCATAAAACAATATTTGTACTAACTGTTTAATGAGAAACTGCTTGTTCTGTAAACCTTCATCTAAAGCACAATAAAGAAAAAAATTATTAGTATCTTTTTCTACTATTTCTGTATAGTTGTTCTCATTTGGGATTTTCAAAGCAATTTCCAGCACTTCCACTAACTGTTATACCATTGAAGGAAAAAGAGTGACTGAGAAAAATAAGGAAAACACTGTAATTTATTTTAACTCATAAAATGGAATTCTGTATTCAGTGTAGTATGGATAAATGCTGGATTTTCTCAAAGATTTGTGTTTTGTTTGTTTCCATTTTTCCTTATGGGGCAAAGAGCAAGAAGGTATACTGTTTCCTACAAAGTGTAAGAAGAATAGATGGGAAAAAGGAAGGAAGGTAAGAAAGGAGAAAGGACGGAGGATAAGAGGAAGGGAGAAAGGGAAAGAAGTTGGGGGAAGGAAGATAGGAAGGGTAAGTGAGCTGATGGAGGTACATTTCTTCTTTCAAGATTTCAGATGTAAACTTTTTGACAATTTTCATTTTGTAATAAGTGAAAAATGATATACTAGGATTTCTCTAGACCTCATGTGGCTTTATGTACCTGAAAATGCCTGTCCCTTTTTGGAGATACGTTCATTTGAACATAACAGGCCTGCAAATAACTGACATTTCACCACCCATAGCCCTAGCCTTTCTGGAAAATTTTTCAGCACTCCCTCCCTCCAAAATTTACCCTCAGAGGTAGCATTTCCACTTTCCTTAGGTAATGAGTCCCTTGAATTTCCTTCCTTTCTACCTCAAAATTACTGTGTCTTCACCTGCTTTTTCTTCACTTACTCTTGCCTCTGAAAAAGACATTTTCTACCTTCCTTCACAGTGCTTACTCCTATACTAATGTCCTTGATCCTACTTTCACCCATGTCCTCCAGAATCTTGCTCAATTACCTTTAATCTGTTCATTTTCATTGGATCCTTAGCTTCTACATAGATATAGGATCAAGTCTCCACTAAAAATATCATCAGCAACACAACAAAACCCCATCAATCCTCACACCCTTCTCAAGCTGTCTTGAATTTTTCTTCTTCCCTCCATCTCCAAATGATACAAATGTGCCACCTGCCTACACCTCCTCAACAACCACCACCTTCCAATAGCCTTCGTCCTCAGGTTTCTTATCCTATACTAGACTGAAGTTATTCTTTCTTTGGCTCCTCTGTACTGTTAAGTACTTCCAACCATGCCCTCCTTCAGGAAATTGTCTTATCTATAGGCTCTGTTCAGGTTCTTCTCCTATCCCTTTGATCTGTTTTCCACATGCCTCTTTTGCAGAATTTTCTTCTCCTCAACTCTCAGTATTCCTTAAGCATCTGTCTTTGGTCTTTCACTTCATTTTCTTCTTTTGTCTAGAACCTGCACTAATTCAGGTGCCACTATTTCAACTACTCAAGTTGAAATAAATTAAATTAGCTAGTCACAAAACACCACATATCGTACTTTTTTTGAAATGTCCAGAAAAAGCAAATCCATTGAAAGAAAAAGTAGGTTAGTGGTTGCCTAGGGCTGAGAAAGTGGGGAGGAAATGGGGAGTAACTTCTAATGGGTACAGGGTTTCTTGTCTGGGTGATGAAAATGTTCTAAAACTAACTGCAATGATGGTTACACAACTTTGTGAAAACACTAAAAATTAATGGGTGAATTATATCTTAATAAAGCTATTATTTAAATGGTTAAATTAAAAGTTCAGTTCCACAGTCATACTAGCCACATTTCAAGCACTCAACAGCTCTGTGTGGCTAGTGGCTACCATATGAGACAGCATAGATGTAAAACATTTCCATCATCACAGAAAGTTCTTTGCACAATGCTGGTAGACAGAAGCTGACAGATTGCACCTTTTTTCTTTTTTTCTTCCTACTAAGCCTACCATGATATCTAAAGAATGTTAGGGAATTAACAAAGAGTAGTAAATGTTAATGCATCAGTCAAATGATTGCTTCCATATAACAGAATCTTTGCTGAAGTGGATCTCATGCATAATAGTTTAACAAGGCTTTATTCTATTTATATTTTTTGCTTGATTTGGTAAGGAATGTTATTAAGAAGATATTACACGAACTATTTTAAATGTTTATTTTCCCTTCTCCACAAGGGCAAAAGCAAAGTTGTTATTACAGATAATAGCCTTTTTTCAACTATGGAAAGAGACTCTGCAACAGAGATGTGAGTGAGGGACAAAAAATACTTGATCTGAGGTTTCCTAAATAATCATTCATAACTGTGAAGTTTCACAGGTTGT